TTTTGCTTGAAATTTTCTTTTTCAAGATTCTCAAGAATTTTAATCTAACTTGATCTGCATAATATTTTTTAAATATGTGTTTTATAGTTTCTTGATAGATGTACCAGGAGAATTTTCTATCTTTATAAAGATCTGGTTTTCTTTTATGCAACTTATTTTTTGTTAGTAGTTTCTTATTGAGAAGTTTGTATCTAAGCATTCTGATATTGTGATCTTGTTAGTTAGTCTCAAAGCTAATGATTTTTGATGGTAATAGACTGGCTCATGTTTTTTCCATTTTATTTTTTTTTTATCACCTGTTCTTAACCATATCTTGTATTTTTTTTGTATGGCCTATGTACTGATCCATTGCTATTTTTTATTGTTTTATGAATTCACTGGTGCCAATGTTTAGATCCTCTTTGTTTTATTGCAATATGCAGATCAGGCTATTGATATGCTAACTTTTAATTTTGACTATTCACTCGTATCCTAGCTCTCTTTTTTCCTTTACTAAAATATCTACTTTTTCGTTGTTGTTGTTTTCTGTGTGAGCCTGATTTTCTTGAACTTTTTCATTACTTTTTTGGATTGGATTTTGTTCATTATCAGGGTTGTTGTAAGAAGATTTGTTGCTTTTGCTAATTTCTATTTTTGAAAAGTTTGAATTGAATTGCATATATTATGCTTTGGCTGTTTATATGTATTGTTGCTATTGTATTTATATTTATAATTACCAGTGCTGTGAGAATTGCTAGGAGCTCTACTCTGATAAATAATGAAAACTCTTCACATCTGCCTTTAAATTCAATTAGTGTTTGTGTTTTTTAGTTGATAATAATTTTTTCTTTATCTATTTTGACTTGCCTATTGGCATATTTGTCGAGTGAGTTATTTGTAAAGATGTCTACAGTTTTAAATTCTGAATTGTTCTTTTTATTTTTTTGAGTTTCTTCTTGATTTTGTATTGTAGTTTGAGTTCTTCCAAATCTTCTGTGTTAGTTGCATCACTTTCTGTATTATTAATAATGATCTGTAAAATGTTTGTTGCTTTTAATAATGTGTGGCTCCAATTATAAATTTGTTTAATGAAGTTTAGTGATACTTGAACTTGGAGGAGATTGCCTATTATGGGGTTGAACAGTTTTGAGCTGTTTTTTGTTCTTTTGACTGAGATGATGATTTCTTCTTTATATTCCAAATATCTGTGTCTAACATCTTTGATTTTTTTGTATATTATAAGAGAGAAGCTTTGAAAAAATATTGAAATGTGCCTCTGCTAATCTATTGTAATTTTCCTTATAAAAGACCTGAAGTATTCTAAAAATTACTTATACTAAATTAATTGCAGTATTACTATAATTCTATGCTTATTGTAAAAAATAATATCAACTGAATTTATTCTCATTACTAATCCATGTTATAGACTAGTGTTGTAATAGGTTAGGTCAGGACTGTAAGAACTGCAGGTCTTGACCTGACCCATAATACCCGATTAGGACCATAAGAACTATGGGTCTATTTGATTTATTACTGATCTATTTGTAATTAAATCATTTGATCATTACAAAATCAAATAGCTTTGATTTCATAATGACGATATAAAATTAAAAAATGATATAATAAGGTTTATACAAATAAATTTAAATTTTTCATGCAAAAAATGGAATTTTCTAATATAGAAAGTGATGAGAATACTATTGATAGCTTTTCTGATGAGCAAGACAATGAAGAAATATTTGAAGAAAATTCTATTGATATGATACTTGAAAGTCAAAACTTAGCAAATGAAATTTCAATAAGTTATATGAGTCAAGATTTAACAAGTGAAACTTCTACAAGCAATATAACAGAAAATTCATCAACAGAAGAAATTTCAACAAGTTATACAGCAAAAACTTCATCATCTATATGGCAATTTTTTGATAAAAATCAAACCACTGGAATTCCTTCTTGCTGTATATATAAAATGTCTTTTAGCAAAAAATTTTCAATTTCAACATTACAACAACATTTACAAAGTGTCACTTATCAAAAGCAATTAATTTACGATCAAAAAAACTTTAAGACTAAATTCAGATTCATATAATGAAAATAATCAAAATGAGCGAGATAATTTATTAATGAATTGAATTGTTTGCACTCAACAAGCTTTTTACATTGTGGATAATAAGTATTTTTGTGCTATGATTCATAAATTAGATTCACAATATTTGATACCTAATTGAGCCAAAGTTAGAATTTTAATTATAAATCAATTTAATGAACAAAGAAAAAAAATGTATAAAAATTTTAAGCAAACTTTCAACAAAAATTGCTCTAACAACAGATATGTGGACATTAATAAAAAAAGAAACTTTTATGGATATAACAATTTATTATCTTGATAATCAATGGAAGTCTCAAAGTTTTTTATTAAATATAATTTACTTTACAACATGACATACAGGAATTAATATAGCAAATACACTTTTATCATTACTAGATAAATTTCAACTATCTAATAAGATTACTGGATTAACAACTGATAACGCATCAGAAATGTTACATGTGGTCATGAAATGGCT